CAGGCCACAAGCAAGTTTGAGGCGGCCGGAGGCAGAAGCATGGAGAGGAAAATTGAAGACGTTCTGACTGGCCTGGGATTCTCCAGTGCTGTTCCTCGGCGTGCGCAATCAATGTTCGTTTGTCTCATGGCCGAGGCTTGTCGACTGGAATCAGCCCAAACTCCCCAAACTCAGCCAAGGACTTCGAGAAATCTTGTTCGGAGCTCTCTGGCGGCTGGCAAATGCGGGTGGGAGCCCTGGATCTCAGTCTACTGTGGCCACGCTCCACAATCTTGTACGGAAGCCTCAAGCATACAGCTCTTTGCAAACAAAAGCATGCCCATGTGTGAACCTTTTGAAATTCTGTATCCTTGCATGGTGCAGCTATTGGACGGTACTCGTAAGTCTAAGACGCACGTAGATACGACGTAGTTCATCGGCGCATTCGTCAGTGATTGCACGAGCATGGTGTTCAGGGTTCGTGATTACGAATGACAGATGGAATGTAACTGCACCCGCCGGCGGGGGGTTGTAGCATCCAGTTGAGACTGCCATTGAGCTTTTGTGTGTTGGGACAGGCACCATGCTGTCAGCTACACTTTGACTTTGTTTTCCCTCATGTCGTGAGTCAACAGTCTTGTCGCTCTATGTGTGAAGATGGCACCGATCTCAGGTGTTTCTAGGCAGTCTTAGAGCCTTGATGCCTGGNNCCCCCCCCCCCCCCCCCCCCGCTCGCCATCTTACAAACCAGAGGTCCTGTTCGGTGCAGCTTGCCGCCCAGGGTAGCTCATGGGCTCATGGTATCGCTCCATCTCCAGATTGCATAAGCAGCTGCTCCATGAGTCGCCCTGTATCGAACCACCGAACCGCTGCTGGAGCAGCACCGGGCTGTGCCAGCAATTCTGTTTCGAAGATTCAACCTGCTGTTGTTCCAGATCTCTCATTGATCAGGTAGATCCGGCGTCCAATTTGACGTTTGCCCACACGTTTGGGCGACAATCCAAACCGGCACGAACTGAGAAGACAAAAGACTGCGAAAGTGCGGTGGATACCTGACAGAAGGCCCGTTGTATTTGTGGAAGAGGTCTCCCCCAAAAAAGTACGCATCGAGCACCCTTTCGCTGGATGGGTTGTGCCGGACAATAAGTCAATGCTGGGGCTGCGACAGGACTCATGGCAGCAGCAGCAGAGGCGAAGAAAAGCTTCCTGCTGGGCCATTGACCAGGTCATGTCCAGGTCCCAACCGCTGACCCACCCCCTTTTCGCAAAGTCGGGGCAGCTTAGCAGCTTGCTTCAGACGACTGCAGAACTGCCAAGGAGAATTCTGCACTGCTCGCCGAACAACTCCAGGCTTCCATAGTGCTTCCATGACGACAGCCGCAGCGCCCTCTCTCAACGTTTGAAGGACATGCTGTAGAAGTAAAACGCTCTTCCTAGGGCGTTGCCGATGCCTGCGGGCGGTCGCATGCAGCTTGCAGTGTGGCTGGCAGAGGCTTGGGAATGCCATTGCAAGTTCGTGCCGCCAAATACAGGACGAGCAGAGAAGTACCTGGCTCGGTGATCGTTCTCTACAGCTCCATGAAGAGTGGAATTTGACAGATAGTCAGTGTCGTGGAGGGGACTTAGTAGCGCGCACTTGTGCGCCGCTAAGTCTGATGGAATCGATGAGGCCATTCATAACACTGGTTCTCTTCCAGATTCCAGACCACAGAGATGCCGACACCTCCCGGTGCCAAGCCCAAACAGCGGATCTTCTGTGGTTGAGGATGAGTGACCCTTGAATGACTAGTGACTGACTAGTGTGATGCCGCATGGCAGGCTCCTGTTTGCTTGCAAGTTGTCAGCAGTTCCGACGGCTCAGCGAGCTGACATTCTCACAGCCTTTACCTTGCACTCGTGGCAAACCGAAAAAGGATCGAGGGCATTGAGCTCTTTGTATTTCAACGCAGACCCTCATCCCTCTCCTAAGGCAGGGGAACGGAGTCGGGAATCGGGGCGGGGGGGGCGGGGTTGTGCTCTCGACAGAGCAACGCTTGGATGTTTGGAAAGCAGCTGAGGTCGCCTTGGCACGAGCGCTGTTGCGTGAGCCCGAGTTGCTTTTGCTCGACGAGCCCACGATCCTTGCTCGCATGTAGTTGCATTTTCCGTCTCAGTTTCAGGCACGATCCCTGTAAAGTCTCACAAGCGCCAAGGAACCACATGGATGCCTCCGCCAAAAACTGGCTGGCGACGTACCTGGCGGCAGGCAGACAGCTCAAGACCAGATTGCTGTCTGCGCATGCAGAGCGCAAAAGTTTCAGAGCCACGAGCAGCACACTGCCGCACTCAACAACAGTCACTAACTTGCCTAATCTCTCTTGCATGCTGCTTGTTTCGCAAGGCCTGCCGGAGACCAGCATCATGTCTGAAAATCATCAGTTGTGCGTGGGATGGTTCTTTGCTGGTGGTCCGCAGTGTATCGGAACCCAAGCGCTTGTGAATAGCTTGCCAGTAACGGCCTGCAATGACCATCAAGTTCGGATTTGCTGCCGGCGATGCCAGAATTGCTTAAACGACCGGGCTTGACGTTTCCAGCACTTGATCCTGTGGCTCTGCGGGAAGCTAAGGCACCCTGCTCCTGGTGACCCACGACCGGTCGTTGCTGGAAGAGATGCACTGCTCCCAAGTCTACGAGATTGCCGCAGCCCGCCCTGGCAGTGTCAAGCTGTTCTATGCTGAATTCCCAGATCAGTTGGTCAAGTGTTGCGATTTCCTCTCATTTGCTGTCCCAATTTTCGTGTGCTCGCCCAGCCATTGGAGCACAAGGTTTCGTCGCTTCGTGAATGGAAAGGAGAACACGGGAAATGCCACCGCTCACGACAGCACGGTGTAAGTAGCACAACGGGACTCAGGGAGCTGGGTGGCTTGAGCATGGCAAGCGAGCGCAAGAGAATCACTTCTAGGGAAAATCAACCGTCAAGCGCAAGTGACGCACTGCCCAGGGTGCGGAGCTTAAGGCCTTTCTGGATCAGGTTACGTAAGTAAGACCCGTCGCATTGCCACGTGGGCCACGACATGCCTTCGGAAACGCTGCAAAGTAAAGGCAAGACACAAACGTAATTAGTGTTTCGACAGTAATAAGTATTCGAAAACTCGCAAGGATTTCTGCGGCTATGAAAATCGAGGGCGACTCAGTTAAAGACATCGGTTTTCTTATGTGATGTTGGCCAAGCAGCGGCGCATCCTGCGCTACGACGTCTCCGGCATTGCCGATTCTCGCTTACATGTCATTTCTCCAGCGCATCGTTGGATGCATGATGCTGTGCTGGACAGGGATCGGCCTGCTATTCTGGACCAAGGAATGGGAAAAGAGCCGTGAGCAGCGAGTGGCAAAACTACAGAAGGAAATGCTGAAGATTGAGCGCACTATTGCGGCAGATGAAGACTATGTAAGGAGGCGGTCCGATCTGTTCTTCTCACGCGGCTTGCATTGACAAATCCTGCACTTCTTGTGACAAATCTCCTCTTGCTGGTGCCCAACACCAAGCCATGCGAAGCCAGACGAAGCAACACCCAACTCTAGTCAAGTCCCTTCAAGATTTCAGCTGTTGGATAGTGTAGGGAAATCTGTTTGTCCTGTTGTGTTACCCGGGAACTGAACGGGCGAGATTGAACCGATGAGGGATACAAGATTGATGGTGACATTTGATGCTTGGTGATATGAGACATGATCTCTTTCATCCCGGTTCCTGGTTCACTATCGAGGGGGCCCCGAGCGCCAGGTTTGGGGCCAAGTCCAGCCATGCAGCACAGGCACGTCCCGCGGCCTTGGTAGCTCCTTTTGGGTTTTCATCCCTCCATGGGGTGTCGGTCGATATTTCTCCCGGCAGGCGCAGGCCCGCAAGAAGCGCATTGCCAAAGCCGAGAAGGAGTTGGAGGATCTTCGTGGCCAGACACGAGGCTCCATGAGTGTTCAATAGACTTTGTTCTGCGGTGCTGCAGAGGAGGTGCAGAGCTTCGGGGCAGATCAAGCAGGTTCAGTACAAGTTTCAAGACTCTTCTGCAAGCCGCGGCAGGCCTGCCATCAGCTTCAGTCCTGAATGGCAAGAAGGGCTCGGAGGAAGATAGTCCGAGCCTCGAGCTTCTGCGGCTTGCAGCGCAGTCCCATGCCTGGGGGATTTCTTGACTTAAAGACGGCCACACCGAAGGCCCCAACGTGCCTTGTTGCAAAGCTTTGCTAAATAGCCGTCAACTCACTCCAAGAATCTCCGAGGGTTGTTGCTGGCTTGGCAGATGCTTCATCCAAATCCTGCAAAACAGATTTCCAAGAATTCTGCACCTCTCTGATTGAAGATGCCCAGTTCATATATTTCATTATGCCAGGCGAGCTTCCTGCACTGCAGCCTGCACTTAGACCGGCCACTGGCACGACGTGCACGGTTGCCACGAAAGCCAAGTTGAAGGAAACTCGTGGCTGAAAGCGCGCATTAACTATCGTAACAAGTATAGAGATGAAGATGGCATGAGACCAGACGGAAAATGCTTCGTCCTCACAACATACCACCGTTGCATAATTCTCTTCTGCCGTTTGGGAGCCACAAATCATTCCTAGGGACGGGACATGACACGTCAAGGTGATGACGATGCCCAAGGCTTGCTGCCGCTCTCCGGCCCGGGGAAGGCTTTCCCCTCAGATGTTGGATGTTGAAGTAAGGCCTTCGGAAAAAAGAGCTAAGAAATTGAGGTTGAGGAACTGATTCGTGTCAACAGGTGGGAGATGGTGGATCGTAGAACTGCGCTTGATCCTTGAAGACAAAACGGTGCGTGGAGTGCATGCTGCCGGGTTCGTTCGGAACTTGCATGGGGCCGGCAAGTTCTTGTACATCGATTTAAATGTACACGTGACCGGACCCATGTGGCCCGTGAAGGTCTACATAACGTAACTGTTTGACTTGAGACTGTAAACTTTGTTGAACTCCCGGAACCCATCCTGGCCCACCAAGTTCGCAAACGATAACACACGTGGTCCCCCGAATTTCCGGCCCACTCGCACATTTGAGTTTGGAAGCCCTACAAGCCCTACAGTACAGCGAGATGCCATGATTACATCTCTGAGCCAGGTGAAGTTCAACCTTCCAGACTGGCCACTGGGTGCCTCGCCGCCCCTGGACCGGAAGCTGCTCACCTTGAAGGCAAGGATTAATTCATGACTCGAGCTGCGGTTTAGGTGGGGAGATGCTGATGCGAACACTGGCTTTGGCAGCTTTGCACTATGCAGGAGACTGAGATCAGGTATGACGGTGGGGAGCCAGTCCTCAACATCGAGGATTCCGGCAGACTTCGTGCTTGCGATTAGGCTTCAGTCAATGCGGCACAAAATCACTGTCAGCAACGTCAAGTGAATCTCTGAAGGTCGCACGCATGTCAGCTTGAAATTGGGCAGCTCCCCCCGGACGGGTAGGCCGGAGCATGTACAGTTTTTGTGGATGTTTTTTCTCGGCTCAGAGCTCGAATCATCTTCCGCCACGCCCTGGCTTCACAGATATGGCTTGGCCGGGGTAAAGGCCCCATGTTGGAGTTCGAAGTGCAGTGCGACACAGTTCCCGGAGAGGTGGTGGCGATTTGTGGGTCCGAGCCTCTGTCATGGGACGCAAAGCAGGCCCTGATGCTCGACCCGACGGACTATCCGGCATGGCGAGGTCGGGTCGCAGCACCTCAATCAGATGTGGAGTTCAAGTACCTCATTGTAAAAAGGGGTGAGGGCGTCGCAGGAGAGTTGGTCCGCTGGGAGGGGGACTTTCCCAATCGGAAAGCGCACAGAGAGAAAGATGTGGCAAAGTTGGTTTTGCGGCACCGCTTCGGTGATGTCACCTTTGAGTGCAAAGAGGTCGTCCATGCGAGTGGCATCCCTGAGAAAGTGCTTTCGAAGCCAGGAAGTGGTTACGCAGAGGTACCTGTGACACCAGAGGCACCGCCGGCTGTACCTGCTCTCCCCATTTCCAAGCGTGGCGAAGAAGAGGCTCAAGAACCAGAGTCTGTTCTGGGCGGCATTGCAGTTGATCCCGCACTTCGGCTAGCTCGCTTGGTACGATCAACATCTGCCACAGCCTTCTCCATGAAGTACGATGTGACTCCGCCCTGTGTTGAGAGTAAGTTTTCCCTAAAGAGCACAGAGCGAAGCCAGAAGCTGCGTGGTTTTGTTGGCATATATAGGTAAACCACCGACACCAATTTAGGTGAAGAGTACCGTGCTGGGCACCGGCATGACTGGCGGGGTCGTCGTTGGAACGAACAAAGAAACCGGTGTTGAGGTTGCCATCAAGAAACTCCCGTTGAATTCGTCCATGAATCCAGAGCACATCAAGTCAGAGATTCAGCATCAGCTTACCTTAGACCACCCCAACATTTGCCGCCTTTTGGAAGTCTACGAAGAGCCGGACCGGCTGCTGATGGTCATGGAGAAGCTTGATGGACCCGACTTGTTCGATTCTTTATCCAAGAAAAGCCGCTACACAGAAAAGGATGCAAGGGAGGTGGTCAAGCAGATACTTAGCGCCGTTGCTTACTGCCACCGCAATGGTGTGTGCCACCGTGACTTGAAGTTGGAGAACTTCTGCATGGAGGACAAGTCGGAGCATGCCAGGATCAAGATGATCGACTTTGGCTTGAGCTCGTCCTTCGACGATTCGCTTCCCATGACCGACTCGTGTGGCACCCTCTACTATGTGGCGCCCGAGGTTCTGCGTGGCAAGTACAACCAGCAATGTGACATGTGGTCCTTGGGGGTTTTGACTTACATTCTTCTCGATGGCCGCGCTCCCTTCATGGGCCGCGATGACCGGCGGACCTACAGGCTCATTCTCGAGGGCCAATACGTTTTCCCCGAGAATCGCTGGGGCCGGATCTCAGACGATGCCAAGAATTTCGTCTCCAAGCTCCTGAAGGTTGATCCCGAGGTGCGCATGACAGCCGAAGAGGCGCTGATGCATCCCTGGCTCACTAGCAAGGAACCTCATACCGAGGCTGAGTCTGCTCCTCCTGCACTGGATGCGGATGTCCTCGATGGCTTGAAGGCTTTGACAAGGGGAAATGCTGCCAAGCGGGCAGTGCTGCGTGCGATGGCACCAGTGGCATCTGTGGATGAGGTAAGCCGATGGGCTGACCAGTTTGAAACCTTTGATGCGCAAGGCACTGGACACGTCAAGGTCTCAGACCTTGTGAAGCGCTTGGTTTCCCGAGGGCTGGCCACGGCGGCCGAGGCTCAGGACATCTCGGATGGCCTTAAAACGGTGGCTGACAGTTCGCAAGAAATCTCATATTCTGCTTTTCTCACTGCGTGCTTGTGTGCGCATCATTCCCGCCTGGAAGAGAAGCACTTAAAAGAGATCTTCTCGAAGCTGGACAAAGACAAAGACAACCACGTCAGTGTCGAAGAGGTTGGGAAGGCTTTAGGTGGAGTTGTGAACATCGAGGCATTAGAGTCGGAGATGAACGGACGGGCCTTATCCTTCTCCGATTTTCAGTGGCTGTTCCAACGCCCTCTGGCTCCTTCGTCCATGGCCGGGCTTCGTCAGCTATTGGGTACCTTCCAAAACCTGGGCTTGACAAAGAGCTGGCGCGTGGACACGGCAGCCGCCAAGGCCGCCAAGGACGGCGACGATGCCCAGTTCGTAGCCGCCCGCCGCGAGAATGCTGCTTGGCGGCAGTGGCATCGCGAGCGTACACGTGCAGAATCCCCGGAGGACCCTCCACCGCCGCACCGTCCATCTGAGGAGGATGGCAAAGACCGGCTATCACCCAAAAAGCTGCTCCTTGAAACTGCGCCTTTGCCTGCCCCGAATAGCAGCAGACCACCAAGCAGGGCACCAAGCAGTCATGGCAACCTCACTCCTCGGGAAATTCCAACTGCAGACCTCGTGGAGCCCAGCAGTCTCGCGAAAGATGCGCGAGACAGAAACGACAACGGAGAGTTGAAAAAAGAGTGGGCTGTGGCCACTGCGGAGGCTAAGGACGGAGACATGGACGCAGCAAGGAGAGAAAACCGCGCGTGGCGGCTGATGAACATGGAAAGATCGAGTGCAGGGCAAAGCCCTCGTGCTGGCTCATAGATTTGTGGGAAAAAGGATTCCCAAGCTGGGGAATGCCAGGGAGGGCCGGGTTGTCACGAGCCATTTATCCGGGTGCCGCTGTACATCCTGCAGAGATCTGCATAGTGAGCCGCATAGTACTGCATATAGTCGGTATATGGTATGCAATGTGCCACGAGGAGTTCGTTGTGTCGGCCGGGCAGCGGCTGGCTTTGCTCGGGCCCAACGGTTGCGGCAAGACAACTCTGCTGCGCTCCCTCGCCGGGAGACTGGAGGCTTGAATTGCCCAAGACTTCCTTTGTGCATGGTTCACATCTCCAGAAGGTGCGGCTCGGAGTGAACCCTCGTCGCAGAAGACTCTGTGAGGTCGAGGCGGGCTGCTGCATCCTGGGTGCTGGCGGCCTTCGCCGTGCTCGCGTTGCTTTCTTCACACAGGATCTGGCCCAGGCAGCGGACCAGTATGTTGCGTGGGGTGGGCTTTCCCGGCGGACTTGCAGCTCTGGCTGTGCCTAGTTGCGAGTAAAGCTGGTCAGCCGTCATGGTCATTCGGTCCTTGCAGTGTGCACAGGACACACATCCAGATTTTGGATTAGTTTGCCCCGCAACATGGTCGGAGGGCACATCGCCCGTTGCTCCTTCAAAAAAGACCAGGATCTGCCGGGTGACATCACCCCAGTCGAACATGTTCTGGGTGACGATGCCCCGATTTCCCTGGACAAAGAGGGTGCCCGGGCTGCGTGCGGAGCTGAGAGGCCAAAGCTTCTACGTGCAGCCATTTTTGCGTAGCTGCTCTGAGGCTCGGCGCGCTGGGTTTGCGAGGTGCTTGCCACAACGCCCCTATCAAGACCTTAAGTGGTGGCGAGACGCTCGACATAGGATGGCCAAGAGATGCCAGGTTTCCCTGTAGATTCCACACACTGCTACTAGCCGACTACTGTAGATCCCAAAGTCGCGAATTCTCGGCATAATCTTGCAATCCCGAGCCTGCCTCAGGAAAGCACGTGTGGCACTGGCAGTGTTTGCTACGCGGCCTGCTGATGTGTTGCTGCTGGACCTTTGTTCTGAGCTAACTTAAGCAGCAACGACCAGGTAACGACCACGACAATACTATAGCGAACGCACGACAAGACAAGCGCCACCATCGCTGCCGCTGCCACCAACTCAAGAACTGCGAAACAAGCATCAAAGGCCACTAGCCCACAGAAGGGACAACAACACCAACGAGAAGACTACCTCCACAAACACAAACACAAGTACTACTACTACTACTACTACTACTACTACTACTACTACTACTCCTACTACTACTACTACTACTACTCCTACTACTCCTACTACTACTAACTACTACTACTAACAACAACAACTACTACTACTACT